ACAGTTGCGTGAGTGATACACACCTGATGATGGCCATTTAGGGCCGAAACATGTAGTGTGGAAGAGGAAAAAGAAGTAAAAACTACAATAAAATTGTTGCACTTAAGACGGTATTTGTCCATATATATTGTGTGAGTGTAACAGGATGCTGAAATATAATATTGTTATATGCACATGTCTGTCTGTCTGTTTACGTACGTGCGATCGTGTGCAAGTCTGACAGTACATAGTACCTTACTACGATAGACATGTCTGTGTGTATGCGTGTACATTTTAACAGGCTTACAAAATCATGAATGGTTTCATCGGAACCTAAAGGTGAAGGTACGATAAATGTAAAGCTATCCTTCTGTAACAGGCCGTGGAGGCCCATAGGATTGTGAGACGTCGAGGCTCCCACATTTTCTAAACAGTCGGTTCACAGATGGAGGTGAGATTGTCAGCCCTACGCGCCGACCGCCCTTTACACCCAGGAAGTTTCCTGGTACTCATTTTGTTAGAGGCTGAGTCGACCCCAGGGCCATTGTGCGACTGAAAGGATTAGTTCAGTTGAAAAATCCAATTACCTCATCGGGAATTGAATCTTAAACGGACACCTACATGAAGGGGAAAGGGGGTGGGGACACTGAAGAAGAGTTAAAACAGGTTTAAAGACAACTTCAGAGTGATTCTGTCACATCTTTGTCGCTGTGGTTATTGAAGAAGCCAAGAGGACGGCTTGAAGAACGAAGTCGGTTCCATCTAGTAAGTGATGGAAACAATGAATTTTAGGTTTGTACGCGTGCTTGCTAAAGCATTTATGTAAGCGTCCGTCCGTCTGCTCTCGAAGCTTGGGCACTAGAAGGCACAGATTAGCCTGGATTAGCCAAAGGGTCTGAATCCTCTCCCAACCAAAGGCATTGTGTTTGTTCCAAGACTACGTGTTCAGCTGCAGGCCACAGGGGGCGCAGATACTAAGTCTACAATGTTCTTGTAAAGAAACAATTGCCTTAGTTTTCTTAGAGGCGGGGGGGGGACACTGTGTAATATAAAAAAGTAAACTCTGAACCACAAGAACACAGACTTCCCCCTCGCTTTTAATTGTAGGCATTTAGAAGCGAGGTTCAAGGTGCAGTCCCTTTCCTTAATTGTTTAAGCACCACGCCATAAAGACGTGTGGGAGAGTTGACCTCGGCACTAGATTGAGGTGAGTGGTCAGCTTCATGCACTGGCTGCTTTACCTCCGTGGAAAGAGACCCCGGTGCCACTGGATAGGAGGCTGGGTGGGCCCCAGAGCCGGTCTGGATGCCATGGTGTACAGAGCAATGTCTGCTGGGAATCGAACCCCGGCCGTCAGTAGCCCGTCCCTATGCCGACTGACCTGACTCGGCTTTTATTGAGGAGGGACGGGCACCAACAGCCACCGTCATATACAGTATATTATCACATTAGCTGCATTTGTTGGACCTTTGTAGTCATGTGTGTATTTTAATGAAACTGCAATTAACTGCGTGTGTTGATACTGGCCAGCGTTTGCCAGTTGACCGTTACCGCTAGTGAAACACACGGCGGATTTTTCCGTGGCCGAGAGTTTACCGTCGCCGCTCAAAGAAATCGAGAGTTTACACACAGGGCGGAAAAATTTCCGTCACCGTCGTACGAGTAAGCTGGTAGGTATAGGCAGTGTAGTTTCATCTTCAGATCATAACACATCAGTTGTGTTATTCATCACATGCGTTATTCAAATTAGTGTAGATTGAAATGAACAGAAAGCAACTTCTAGCGTTATTGTTAATCCGTCGTCGAATGAAAAGGAGAAGAAAAAATCGACTAATTTGGGTTCATCAAATAAATGAAAGAAAAGAGGAAGTTGGCGC